AAAGAAAGGAAAAGAAAAAATATGAGAAAAGGAAAAAAATGGAAACAAAGTCTTTGCAAATAGGGAAGGGTGGAGGGGGTGAAAGGAGGGCAGGGATAGGGGAAAAAAATAAGAACCAAGTTACATCATGTACAGGTACAAGATCCCAATGACGAATGTAACTGTATTTTATACCTAAAATCTACCAATAAACTTAATGGGAAAAAAGAACAATTTATATAATCAATCACTGCGCATGTGCGTGATTGTATCATAGTAGATCTATGTGAAATACACATGTATATTTGAAGCAGAAACATTGATCTCTAATTTAGAAATAAGAACAATTCCAGAGCTGGGTGCAGTGGTGCTCGCCTACAACCCTAGCACTCAGGAGCCTGAGACAAGCGGGCTGGTCCTAGTGCGAGGCCAGCACTGCTCACTCAGGCCTGACGCTTCCGCGCCCTCCCCGCCTGCCCCTCCCCCGCCCCGCCTCTGTCCTCCCGGGCAGGCCGAGCTGTGGCCTCAGCAGACCTGTGTGCGGGGCTCGCCACAGAAACTGCGTGGCTTGTGTGAGAGAGAAGGATTCTAACCCCTCGCGCTTTCGTGCCCCTTCTTGTTTCTAGGACACTGTGGCTTCCTCTCACCACGCTGAGACCCCAGGTCTGCTGGGTAAACTCATACTCCTGCCCGGTCTCAGATTTTGGATCCATCCAGGTCACAGAGACTGGGAGAAGCCGGCTCAGGCAGGGCTACAGGCAGAGCAGACCTCTGAGCACGGAGCTGCCACCCCAGGAGGTCTGATAGACACTGAAGGTCACATCACGTCCGTGCTTCCCCTGCTCAGACGGAGAGCCCAGGGCAGGGGAAGGGGATTTCTCAGAAGGTCACCCTCCCCCAGAGAGAGGCTGAGCCAACAGGAAACGTCCCAGGCCCCCACATCTCAGTTCGCAGTGCTCAGGGAGCGCTCTGCCTGGCACCACTGAGCTCTGGGCTCAGAACTCAGATGGAGAGCTGGACTGGCTGTGGGTCTTGTAGATGCCAGGAAAGTGTCCTTGGCCCTCTGAGACTGACACAACAGGGTCACCGTCCACCCTTGAAGACAGCAAGGGTCTTCGCTGCACCCAGAGGGAGGGAGCCACTGGCAGGGCCCCGGGGGAGGTGGGCCTGAGAGAGCCCAGCCTGGGGCTGCTGGCCAGGGCGCTGGGGGAGGTCAGGTTCCCCCTCCTTGGACAGAGCGAACCTGTCATAGGCGATGTCAGAGCGACACTGCAGGGTCAGGCTGTGTCCAGGGGCCAGGACAGGGCCCGGCTGGGTGAGGAGGGAGGGCTTCCTGGACAGCCCTGGGGGGAGGCGGAGCCGGGCTGAGGGCCTGCTTCCTGCCACAGCCCTGCCCCTCCTGTCCTGCCCTGGGGTCTCCCTGTATCACACGCAGGGTCTCCGACTCAGGAGCCCCAGGCTCTCCTCATCCTCTCTGGGGCTGTCCTAAGGAAAACGATCCCCACGACTTGTTTGGTGCCCAGAATTACATCAAACAGAGCTAGAGCTTCCTCACCTGAGACCAGGAGCTCCAGGGTGTCACTGGGCTCCGACCATACCTGGAGTTTGCTCCTGTCGTAGCCGTAGCATCTGAACGTCCACCTGTGGCCAGCGGTCACAGGGCCCACAGGGAACAGGGCCTGGACCTGCCCTCCGGGGCCTCGCTGTGAGTCCAGGGTCCAGGAGAGCCCATCTTCTCCTTCCTGAGTCAGAAGGAACCTGTTAAACCTCTGCCGTGAGCCACACTGGAGGGTCACGGTCCCTCCTGAGGTCACCGCAGGGCTGGGCAGGGCTGAGAGGCTGGGTTTGCTGTGGGCTCCTAGGAGAGCAGGAGGCAGCGTGTTAAAGGGACTCACACCTCCCCCACTGTCCCCAGGGCTGGGCCGGGAGGGCGACACCCCTGAGAGCAGACCCCTTCCTGAGGGCAGAGCCTGGGGCCGGGACCCCGAGAGCCCTCTCACCTGTCCCCAGCAGCTCCAGGGGCTCACTGCGCTCTGACCAGACAGCACGGCTGCGATAGTGACAGTGATATGGCCCTGCATGGTGCTCTGTCATGGATGGGACGGAGAAGTTGGCCTTGTCCCCAGACTTCGGTGACATCAGTCTGTCCCAGGGCTCCGGGCTTCCCTGTTTTTCCAGACGGTACTCCTGGGCCTCCAGGCTCCCCTCACACCAGAGGGTCACCAGCTTCCCCGTGGTATCACAGGTCCTGGCTCAGCCCAGAGCCTGGGGGTGGGGAGGGTCCCGGCAGGGAGTCACAGCTGGGGCCCAGGCCCTTCCTCCCCCCTCAGATCCCAGCTCTCAGCCCAAGGACCCTCCAGACCTCCCCAGCACCAGCCCACACCTGCTGTTCTCCCTCCCCACTGCCCAGGGGTGGCCCCTTGTCCCCAGGAGGAGGAGGGACCGGCACAGCTGGGGACACACTCACCTGCCTGCCCTCGGGGCCTGGGGCCCAGACTCAGCCCTGGAAGAGAGCTCCCTGTGAGAGGTTGGCCCTGGAGCCTGAGCAGGTCCTCTCCTCCCCGAGCCTCCTGAGCCCCTGCTCCCCCGATGGAGCGGGGCTGGCTGTGGGGTGGGGTCCCGGGGCCCCTCCCAGAGCAGGGCGTCCCCTCCCCTCTTCCGGTCTCACCCAGGCAGAGCAGCGCCCAGAGGCTGGGGGCCGTGGTTTCTTCTCCCACTCTCCCTGGCTTTGTGGAGGGGACCACAGTGTCCCGCAGGACAGAGAAGCAAAGGGCGCGGCCACTTCCCGTCCTGGGGTTGCTGCGGCAGCGCCCCCGCAGGAAGGGGACCTGCTGCCCCGGGGCCTGCTTCTCTCTGCCCCAGCTGAGCTTGGTGTGGGCACCAGGCTCTCTGCAGACTTCAGGCGGGATGAGGTCTTGCCTTAGCCTGGCCTCCCTCTCCCTGATCCGTCCTCACCTCACCAAGTGCCAAGACCTGGGAGCAGATAGACCCAGAGCCTTCCTGCGCTGCCCCTCCCGGGTGGGGTGCTGAGGGCCGGTCCTTCCTGGCAGGGCCTCCCCACGGCCTCCCCCTCCCTCAGCCCGTCCACTGCCCAGCTCGGTGCTCCTCACCCTGGCCGTCGTCTCCCGCCCTGGAGACGCTGGGGAAGATGCGGGTTCCTGCTGCAGGCGACGCCGAGCAGAGACGCGCTGAGCCCTGACTGTGCTGCTCAGTGGAGCCAGCTCTGTCTCCTGCAGGAGCTTTCGGGCCGGGCAGACAAGCCCCGTCTCTGCAGACCGCCTGTCCGCGCCATGCTGTCCTTCCTGCCACCGCCCACGCCAGCCTCCAGTGCTCCCGGAGCCCTCACCATGTGCAGTCTCGGTGCCAGGTGTGGCAGTCACCGGGGAAGCTGCAGCCTCCTCCCCTGGTCACGCGGTCAGAGGACAGGTGCTTCAGCATCAGCTTCCCAGGTGTAGGGAGGGGAAAAGGGGAAGACGGGATGCAATAACGTGGGAGGGCGAAGCACCGGTATGGGGGAGGGCAAATCTGCAGGACGGATTGGACACAGGCCGGGCACAGGGCAGGGGTGGGTGGGTCAGAGCTTCCTCAGGGAAGAGGAGCATGACCTGAGAGGCACCCAGGTGTGGCCCCCTCTCCCGGTCCCCCTACACTGAGACGTCCCTGGGCTTCATCTTCAAGGCAGCAGAAAATCTTTAAACATGGACACGTTACTGCGCTGAGAGGAGCAGCACCGGTGGGAGTGGAGGCAGCAGGGCTGCGTTCCTCGGAATCCCTGGGAAATCTCCAACAGGAGTCTGCACCCAGTGATGCGCCTGTCAGGAGGCTGAGGGGCGAGCGTGGATTCCCTGTGGGTCCTCACGCAGCCCTCACTCAGGAGTGTGTCCGCGGTCGCGGGGCTGCAGCCGGAAGACTTCGGCTGTCGGGGCTGAGCGAGGAGGCTGGAAAGTGCCCCCAGGCCCTATTGTCCCAGGAGCCACTGAAAAGGCCCAAATGGACAATGACTCAGAGTGTGTGTGTGTCTGTGTGTGTGTGTGTGTGTGTGTCTGTGTGTGTGTCTGTGTCCATCTGTCTGTCTGTAGCACGGTGGGAGCTGGGTGGATGTGCTCAGGGTGGAGCTTGTTACCTGGGCAGAGTTTCCCTCTGTTGATCCTGCACAGTGATGCTTCAGGCAGTTGCTGTTACTGGAGGAAGCCAGAGCCCTGTGACCCTTCTGGCTGGTGGAGGGTGGGGGCAGCAGCGTTCCGGGAGAAGGGGGATGAATGAGAGAGGGGGAAGCAGAGTGGGGTCTCAGGGCCCCTGGGAGGAGACAGCCTTCCCGGCCTGTGAAGGACCGGAGGGGACGACTCAGGACCCAGCTATCCCATTTCATCTGCACTCCGCTGCTCCCATGAGTCACTGCACTCTATGGTTGTGCTTCCTGTAGTAATGGACACCTGGCCACCCCGGGATCAGTTCTGTGTGGCATCTGCCTGTCTGTGCTACAAGACAGAGCCTTGCTGGTGAGATCCCCAGGAAGGAGCCTCAGAGTGTGGCGATCAGGCTCAGAGAGCCACTTCCTTATTCCACATTCCCGCCTCCCAGCTGGCCAACTGTCATGGCTGGAGCAACCGCAGCCATCTTGCAGTCAGAGAAGCACGGAACGTTGTGACCCAGGTCTAAGATTGTGGGACAGAAACAGGGAACCTGCACCTCTGCCGACCTCCCAGAGCTACCAGAGGATTTCTGGTGGGGAACTGGAAGTCCAGCAAGACACTGGCAGAAGAGGGAACATTAGAGTCAGGCTAACCAGAATCTGTGGCTGATCCAGTGTGGGTGGACAGCATGGAGGCAAGGATGGCCACCTGCTCTCTGGCCCAGGACCCATGACGTTCACTGAGCAGAGAAGGAGTGCGAGACAGAGGTCAGCACTGTGGAGGAGCCTGGCCCATCTCTGATGAGCTGAACTGGGGAGTCTGGACAGGGCCCATTGCAGGCTTACAGGGGTGAGGGGCAGAGGGGAGAGGATGGAAGGGCAGTGCTCCTGGGTGGCAAGGTGGGTTAGGGGCCCCAAGAGCCAATGGGATTCCTGTGGGGTGGAGGGGACTAGGATGCTGAGGATGGGGCTCACCTATCGGGGTCCCCAGCCTTGAGCCCAATCTCTTGCCTAGGGGCTACAAGGCAAGTTGAAAGAAAGACACTGAAACAAGACTTAAACAGAATACTGGGATCTGGGACTGTCCAAGCTGAGCTGGCAGCAAAGACACCAGGCACCTAAGCCCGCAAGTATTTATCGATTACACAAGTATGGGAAGAAATGGGCAGGGTGTACGTGAGACATCTGGCAATGGTGTGTGAGGCATCTGGTGACAGCAGTATCACAGGCAAGGCTCATAAAGGGGGCAAGGGATTCCTGCAGAAGGAACAAAGAGAGACCAAGATCGGGTTGTAATTAACTAGTAATCCATCAAGTCAGTGGGGAGCCCGTAATTCAAGGAAAGAAATTTAGTTGGAGCCACATTGTCCTTGGGCATGATGATATCTCACTGAGGCCCTGCAGATTCATAGACCAGGACTTAGGTCTCTGCTACAGCCTTTGGTGAGGGGCTATGCTTGCCTATGAGCCATCCAACATGAATCACCTAGGCTTCAGTCAGACTCCTAATATAATAGAGCCAAATTATAGGGAAGCAAGAAGCCTGTGCCACCTATAGCCTGCCAGTAAACTAGGCAGTGGGGTCAGCTACACTCACCCTCCTGTGTGTGGATCGTCTGGCCCAGCCAGAGGCCTAGAAGAGAAGCCCAGTGAGAAAGATGCCCACTGCCTGGCTCCTTAAACTGGGTGTGGTCCATGTGGTGCAGGAGGCTGTGGCTGCCTGTGATCTCCACCTTGATCTGTGCTCCTCTCTGTGAAGAGTTTCCTCCACCACAGCACAGTCCACACAAGGCCCAGGTGACTCCATCCAGTCCCTTGGACCTGCTCTGTTCCCAATTTCCAGGACACAGCAGAGGCCTCGGGTCCCACCAGGCTGGCTCAGACCCAGGTGACACAGGGGCAGGTGCTTGTAGGGTGACTCCTCCCCCAGGGCTCACAGTCCTGGACCAGACCCGGGACCTGGACCTCCCTGAGTCTCCAACCTCCGTCCCTCAGACTCACCAGGGCCAGGAGAGTGAGTGGCTGGGGTACGTGTTCCTGGGTCTCCAGCCTCTCTGTGCATGTCCTGTGGTGGGAGGACTGGCCCTGAGCCAGGGAGCATGCAGGGTGACCCACAGGGCCATGTCACAGGCAGGGAGGCCCCTTCCCCCACGTGAGACACAGGAAGCCCTAGGTGTCCAGGAGGCATTTGTTTCTCATGAGGTATTTAATAACTAGGCTGAGCCCATGTGTGAATGAAACTCTCGTAGTGCTCACTGGTAATTCATGGATGGGTACAGAGACACAGGGGTACTAGATGGGTGATAGATTTCCGAATGATTCATAGATATAAATGGTAGATGGATGGATGGAGGATGGAAGGAAGGAAGGAAGGAATGAAGAGTGAAAGGATAGATGGATGGATGGATGGATGTGTGGATGGATGGTTGGATGGATGGATGGATGTGTGGATGGATGGATGGATGTGTGGATGGATGGATGGTTGGATGGATGGTTG